TCGGTTTTATCACATAAAGAACTCTGAGTTATTATTTGATTTTGGAATCTCCTTCATTCCGGACGCCGGGCGGTTCTCATGGAATGGCGCACGCAGACGCCGGAGCGCGCTCACCTTTCCAGCTCAGTTTGATGTCCCACTCGTAGAAGAAGATGAGTTTCCCTTTGCGGTTATTGATGGAGGCCTCGCCCTCCATCTTACTGACCTCCGTCACCTCGCACTCGCCCTCCCCCCCCGCCACAGACACCGCCAGGAACAGCTCCTTCAACTTATCGTTGGACCAGGCCGTGGCGTCCCTCTCCGTCCTGCAAAACACAAGAGGGCCCGTCAGTGATTGGCCCCGCCCATCGCACAGCCATATCAGAGGGCCCGTCAGTGATCGGCCCCGCCCATCGCACAGCCATATCAGGGGGCCCGACAGTGATTGGTCCCGCCCATCGCACAGCCATCTGAGGGTCCGTCAGTGATCGGCCCCGCCCATCACAGCCATCTCAGAGGGCTTGTCAGTGATTGGCCCCGCCCATCGCATAACCATCTGAGGGTCCGTCAGTGATTGGCCCCGACCATCGCAGAGCCATGAGTAAGTCAGTGATTGGCCCCGCCCATCGCACAGCCATCTGAGGGTCCGTCAGTGATCGGCCCCGCCCATCACAGCCATCTCAGAGGGCTTGTCAGTGATTGGCCCCGCCCATCGCATAACCATCTGAGGGTCCGTCAGAGATTGGCACCGACCATCGCACAGCCATCTCAGAGGGTCCGTCAGTGATTGGCCCCGCCCATCGCCCCATCGTACAGCCCATCACCCAAACGTACTGCCCACTATTGAAATGCAGGAATCTGATTGGACGATGCAACACACTGAGGGAGGAGTTTGAAACATAGGAGGAAATTAACACAAGTCTGGGGTAGTTTTGGCTCCGCCTCTGATGAAATGCGTCAGTCGAGCCGCAATCATTGGATGGATTTGTTCCGATATTTCCTCCGCCCGGCAAGATGAGGAATGCCGAGACCCCGAGATCGATGGCGCTCTTCTCCTTTCTGTCATCAAATCAGCTGATC